CGCTATCGGGCACCTATCTCTGGTCAGTCCACCATGGACCGCTGGCTCGAGGCCAATGCTTACCCTGAGCCGATCCCCCTCACACAGGGGCGTGTGGATATTCAGTTGACAGCGGCAAGTCTCGCAACAGTGCGCACGCTGGGTGGCGATTGTTCGAGAATTCGCCGGAAGACGTAACGTGTGGCACCTTGCGCCCCGAGGCTTGTGACGACCGTCGCATGTGACACGCTTTTCGGCGTCGTGTCGGTTTGCCTCGTCAGCCTCAGCCTCGTCTAGTCCTCTCGTCCAGTCCTAACGTTTATTTCTCTCCGCATTCCTCCTGCACCACTTCCCTGTTTCTCCTCCTTCCCCCTGCCCCGTCCTCTGTGTGGCGACGGTTCGAGCAACGCCCAGATGGCCGTCACATGCGACATTTCGGCCATCTTAAGGCTGTTTTGGACTGCTGCGACCTCGCGCTGGGGTAGGGCGCGAGGATGGTCATAATGGCCGTGAGGATGACGGTGGTGATGATGAGGCGGCGGAGGAGGAGGTGGAGGATGGATGAAGGACGTAACACGTGAGACTCGCCATCCCGAAACCCCGAAGGCTGCAGTCGGCTTTCTTCAGACGCTGCCGCATAGACGTATAGTCCGAGGAGGCGGCGGCCTCAAGTCGGAGCTGCACTCCTGCGCGGGGACGGCTCGAGCGCTGCCCCTGCGCCGTGGCTCGTGACACGTCTCGTCTGTACTCTTTCGGGGGGTCTCTTGCCTGGACCATCTCGGCCGTCCAGCGGCTGTTGCGGGCTGATGTAAGGCTGCCTTGTGGCAGAGATGATGACGATGACAATGACCTTGGCCATGACCATGACCATGACCATGATGAGGCCGATGATGATAATGATACTGATAGTCGCCGGTGATGGGGGGTCACGCAAATGGGGGGTCCAGAAAGCATTCTTTTTTCACACTTGAGAGGCCTTTTGTTGCACTGCACCTTTTTTGTAAATCCTCGGCGCCGCCATCCGGCCCGCCCTTCGCTGCGTGGTGAACGCACTGGTGAGTTCTATGTGGGCCACAGAGAGCTCCTCTCTCACCAGCCCCAGCTCGAGGGGTTACGCGGCGGCACGAGGGCCGCGCGCGCGGCCGCTGCGCGCAGCAACAAGTGGATGCACTTGTTCGGTTTCCTTTATTTCGTGCAATGCAGCATTGGGCCCTTTTGATAAGGAAACTTTCGAGCCACTTTTTGACCCGCTGGGGCAGTTTAGGGGCACTTTTGGGACACTTTCATGCATTGCAACTTTTGGCCGCCAGCCAGTTTCGCGCATCCAAATGTCTGACCAGGTGGCGTTCATACGGTGCGCAGACCGCAATTCTCTGGCGACATTAGCAGTTGCGCCTCGAGCTTGGGAGAGCCACCGTCAGACAACCTGCGGGCATACCGAGCGTCGCACACACTGCGAGCAGGGCCTCCGTTTCCGATTGCTCCGTTTGGGATACGTGCGCAGACCCCCATTTGCGTGACCCCCATCACCGGCGACCCGATGCTGATGATGATGATGATGATGATGATGATGATGATGATGATGATGATGATGTTGATGATGATGATGATGATGATGGTGATGATTATGATGATGATGACGATGCTGCTGCTGATGATGCTGATGATGATGATGATGATGGTGATGATGATGATGATGATGATGATGGTGATGACGATGACGTTGACGATGACGATGACGTCATCATCATCGTCATCATCATCGTCATCGTCATCATCGTTTCTTGTTCAGCCACGTTTAACCGATCTGCCATGCCCACCTGGCCGTGGCACCTCAGCCCCAGAAAACCATCTGCCCGAATGGGGATACCCCGCGACACCCAGATGGAACAGCATCTGCACCCCCCCTGGGGGGGGGGGAGAGGGGGGTAAGTCGACCAGTGGGACCAAGGCTTTGCCAGTGGGGATGGGGATGGTTAAGTGATGCTGAGATGCGGGAACTGATGATGAGGGAGAAGGAATGCTGCAACGTGTAGCACTTGTTGCTATATGTACTTCCCGCGCTACTGAAATAACATTAGAAGGTTACCTCTCGAGTGGCGCTATGTACATGCTGTGAGGCGAGGGTAGTGCCCAGAAAACGGCCACAGGAGCGCGCTTTAGTGTGGCTCGATGACCCTCGCTTCTTTGTTGAACCTCTGCCATTGCGAAGGGGCAGTGGCCGTTTATAGAAGCAATTGCTCGCAGGATAGCCCGTCATCATGGCAGAACGTTCACAGCACAGCATTTAAGTTTATTGGCTTCACGACTGGGTCGCCTAGCATGTCGTCGTGTTGAGTGCTCTCCTTCTCCCTTACCTCTTTTGCGCTGCGGTGGATTCGGTTTCTGCGTCGTCCTGCGGTGTACTAGGAATCTGGATGAAGTTAGGAGGACCGGGTGAAGGAGGAAGGCCGTCACATGTGACACCTCTCGTCCCTCGGAGCTCTCAAGGTGCTTACCAGGGTTGTTTTTTGGCCATCTTCGACTCCTGCATTGCATTCTTGGGGGGTCCTTTGGAGCCTCTGGAGCCATCCTGGGGCCCTCGTGGGCCGTCAAGGCGGCGCTTTGGCCGTCGGGTTACTTGGGGCGGTCGCGAGGCCAGCTCAACGGCCGCTCTGCGGCTAGGTGCCCTCTTTAGGCCGTCTTTGGGTCCCGCCCGGAGGCGCTCCTGGGGCCGTCCGTGGGCCGAGAGTCCGCTGGGGCCGCCCTCGGGCGTCTGACGAGCCCTCCCGGGGCCGCCGAGGCGTGGCGACGAGCACCTCCAGAAGCGTCCAGAAGCCCTCAGGAAGGCGATGTCGCCGTCGTCGTCGTCGGCGTCGTCGTCGTCGTCCGTGTCGTCGTCCGTATCGTCGTCGTTGTCGTCGTCGTCGCCGTCGCCTTCGCCGTCAGCCTCGCCGTCGCCGTCGCCGTCCTCGTCGTTGTGGTCGTCGTCGTCGTCGTCCGTGTCGTCGTCCGTATCGTCGTCGTTGTCGTCGTCGTCGCTGTCGCCTTCGCCGTCAGCCTCGCCGTCGCCGACGCCGTCCTCGTCGTTGTGGTCGTCGTCGTCGGCGTCGTCGTCGGCGTCGTCGTCGTCGTCCGTGTCGTCGTCCGTGTCGTCGTCGTCGCTGCCGCCGCCACAGACGCCGTTTCCGTCGCCGTCACCGTCGCCGTCACCTTCGCCGTCGCCGTCGCCGTTGGCGTCGCCGTCGCCGTCGCTGTCGCCGCCGCGTCGTCGTCGTCCGTGTTGTCGTCGTCGTCGTCGTCGTCGTCGTCGTCGTCGTCGTCGTCGTCGTCGTCGTCTTCGTCGTCTCGGCGGCAGCAAGCCTCTTTCGCTCCAGAGTCGATCCCCCAGATGACCTGCCCCATGGCGCGCTCTGGCCAGCACCTCGAGGCGGATCCAGCCGTGGCGACAAGAAGCCTCCCCGAGGAGGCTGTTATCATGCCGTCGTGGTCATCGTCGTCGTCGTCGGCTTCCGTGTCGTCGTCGTTGTCGTCGTCGTCGTTGTCGCCGTCGCCATCGATTCCGTCGCCGTCGCCGACGCGGTCGCCGTCGCCGTCGTCATAGTCGTCGTCGCCGCCGTCGCCGTCGCCCTCGCCCTCGCCGTCGCTGTCGAGAACCTCGAGTCTCGATCTCGTTCGCAATCTTCGTCATGCTCCTGTGTAGGCAGTGAACTCAGGGGGGAATGCAGAGGGCTAACATCATGCGAGAACCGCGAGCCTCGAACTCGTTCGTGATCTTCGTCATGCTCCTGTGTCGGCGGTGAACACATGGGGGCAATGCAGAGGGGGCGGGCCTTGTCGGAACGCTCGGAAGGCCTCCAGCCGTCTGAGAAGTTGTCCAAGCCTTCTCCGACGCCTGGCGGCTTCTCATAAGGCCTGAAGGTTTTGAAGAAGCCCTGCCGCCTTCTGAGACGTCCTGACCCCTCTCGCTTCCCCGGGCGCTCATTCCCCGAGCCTCGCTCCTCTCGAACACGGGCAGGCGGTCTTCTTCGCGGTTTTCGACATCGTCGTCGTCGCCGTCGTCGTCGTCGTCGTCGTCGTCGTCGTCGTCGTCGTCGTCGTCGTCGCCGTAGACGTCGTCGCCACAGTCGCCGTAGACGTCGTCGTCGTAGTCATCGTCGTCGTCGTCGTCGTCGTTTTCGTCGACGTTTTCGTTGTCGTTGTCGTCGTGTTCGCCCTCGCCGTCGCCCTCGCCGTCGCCGTCGCCGTCGCCGTCGCCGTCGCCGTCGCCGTCGCCGTCGCCGTCGCCGTCGTCGTCGTCGTCGTCGTCGTCGTCGCGCCTGCAGGCGGTCTCCTTCGCGATCTTCGACATGTTCCCGTACACCACCCACGCGGAGGTCGCCGTGCGCCTGCGCCGGGTCGCCCGCGCGGGTGTCGGCTCGCCGCTGGGCGCGGGGCTGGAGGCGCGGGCGGAGGCGGCGGGCGCGGCCGGCCCAGCGGAGGGTTCTGCCGTGCAGGCGTCGCGGTGAACGTCACCACCCACCAAACCACCCCAACCCAACCCGAAGGCCTAAATTTATCCTCGATTTCCAGTGGGGGGGGGTCGGGGAACGTTGAAAAAACACATGGTATCCGTACCCCCCCCAACCCGAAATTCGGGTCAAATTCGGGTCTTCGGGTTGGGTTGGGGTGGTCTGGTAGGTAGTCAGAACGAAGCCCTGGGGCCCAGGTCTCGCGAAGAAGCGAGAAATGGGATCGGCACCAGCCAACTTTTGGATCTCCGCGCGGGTGTTGGGGAGATCTGCGCTGGGCCCCCCCTGGTTGCGCCTCCGGCGCCGCCCCTGGCGCGCGGATAGCGCACCAGGGAGAAGGGGGGGGGGGAGTCCGCGCGGAGCTCGGAAGGGTCTGTTTTTGCTGCTTTCTCTTCTTGCAACTTGGTATCGCTCGGACGTGTGCATTTTTTTTCTCGGCGGAGATTATTAAGGAGCATCCTGGATCATCCTGCGACAAAACCACGCACGAAGCCGAAAAAAGCACAGGGAATGGACGTCCGAGCGATGGCGAGTGCAAATCTTCGAGGGCGTGATGTTTGCCATCCGCGCGTTTGCCTCGATCTCGGCCCTCGAGCCTCGGGGGACAGTCAAACGTGGACCTCGGACCGGAAGCTGCCCTCAGGAAGAGGGCCGGGACCTCCTGGGGCCGCGCATGGGACAAGGCACATCACATCGTCGGATGTTCGAGAGCGGGTCCCGAGGTCGATGGAGCCTGAGGGCTTTCGCCGTCCTCGGGCTCTCGGTGCCCTGCCTGCGGCCAGGGACTGTCGACAAAATCACGGGGAAGCTGAAAGCATCTATGCGGGCCAGGCCCGCTTGTGTTGCACGCTCTGGGCTTCCGGTTGTCTTTTTCTCGTCGGGCCGCACCGAATTTGAAACGGGCTGGTGAAACTCATCTTTGTAGCCATCCGCTTGTGTTTCATTCCACGGGCCCGCGCGCCCGCCAACGCCTTGCAACCATCTTTGTGTTCCCGTCCGCTCGTGTTTCCTCGCTTGGCCTAGGTCGGCCGCCCAAATGGCTTGCGCCGACGGCGTTTTCTTGCGCGGCGGCGGCCGGGTTGTTTTATTGTTCCGCAGCGGCTCGCGCGGGCGGGGGGGGGTCGCGCGGTACATTGCGATGTCTGTGTTTTTATTGGCCCACGGCGTTGCGTTTTCTGGTTGTGTCGCGCGGTTGCCACCGTGGCTGCCCCGGAGTCTTTCTGTGTTTTTGGTACTAGGCGCGCCTTTGTGTTTGTTCTTGCGGGAACGGCGACGGGCCCGCGCGGTTACGCCAAAAAGTTCGCGGGCAGAAGATTGTGTTTACCAATTTGGCCTTGCAATGTGCTCCGCCAGGCCACGCCGCCGAAATCTTATGTTTTTCCCGCTGGGCGAGCTGTTGTGTTCCTTCAATTCGGCCATACAGCGGCCCCACGTGGCGGGGCCTCCTGGATTTCGGTAAGGGGGGGGGGGGCGCGCGGGGCTTTCTGGACAGACGATCGCGCGTCTGTTTGGGCCCAGGTGGGTATGCCCCAGGTTGTTCCAACGCGCTTGTTTTTGTTGCAACGGGCCAGCTCCGTATGTTTTTTTTGGGAGGGCTCGCGCGCGGCGCTCTCGACGCCACGTCAGG